GGGGGGGGGGGGGGGGGGGGGGATGTAAATACAGTTTGTGCAATATATAGTATATCTGAGCTTGGTTTTTCATTTTAGTTCCATTTATCAGGAGTTATGATTTGTCATAAATGGAATTAAAATGAAGAAAAAAAGTATAGTATTCATGCAAATTATGTTATTAGCTTTTCAAGGACTCTGATCAAGAACAAGTATGTTTATTTAGTTCTAACATATATGGGCTGAAAGATTCGAAAAGATGGTTAGAATGTTTGAGACTTCATTTCATTAGATATGGAAGAAAAAGGATTATGGCCTTTGACTTTTTGGTCAAAAATGAGTTGAATTATACTCGGGTTTGGAAGAATAAAATTTTTAGATAATTTTTATATTGTTAATAATGGTGTAATTGTAGTTAGAAACATATTAAATTTGGAGGAAACGTGACGTCTTAGTTTTGCATTAATTTGAAGCAAACAACTTGGTAAGTTCAATGAATTAAGGTTGAAATTGGTACGATTTAGACTTTCAACAATACACTTGGAATATGTGAATCTTCAAATCTTAGCAATTGCCAAATCCCTATGGTTTAAAATGGTTTAATATATTCATTTCTTTTTCTAAATTTTAGGTAATATGAAAATTAATAAAAATATTTTTATTCTTTCATTATTATTCTTTTAAACAAAATTCTCGCTTTTCAAGAAGATAAAATAATAATAATGAAGAATTATTATCCGTTTTTTAGCGCTTAATAATTTAAAATTAATAATAAAAAACCTAACTCCATTCTATGATAATCTCAAATAGATACCTACAAAATGTCAATTTTTTTTTTTTTTTGTTTCTAAATTTTTATTCTATAATCTTTTCTCGTGATTTTGTATAAAAAAAAATTAATATTATCATAAAATACACCCAAAAAAAAATATATTTATATTTTGATGTCAGATAGATTTAGAGATGGTAAATTTATTCTATTTTAATTCTTATAAAAATATTTTATTTTACTTCTTGTTAATTTATCTATTATATGACAAGATTTTGAAGATGTATTCGTACTCGTGTTTTGTATCTATTTTTTATTGTATTTTATTTAAAATCATCTCAAATCACTTAAATAAATTTATTTTTCTAAAAAAAAAAAGAATTATTATAGTAGCTAGAATTTTATCAGATAATTCTTTATTAAAAAATAAAAGAAGATTATCCAATTTTGAAATTTTAAGATTTAATTTGTAATGTTATTAATTTTGAACCATAAAGGTGAATAAATTTTTAAAAAAATGATGGGTTTGCCGGCTAAGATCAGGTGCAATCATGAGTAGCGTAAACCAATATATTACTTTCGGATTCCAAAGTGAAGCAATAATGGAGAGCCTTGTGATGATCAAACTCATCCCGAATCAGACGGCTGTGATTGGTCGGCAGGCAGCAAATTCCAAAGGAAAGTTGGAATTAAAAATTTATTATTTTTATTTGTGTCCATTCATAAACATGTCTCCTCTATGCTAAACCTTCCTTATCCATTAGTATGATTTTCTTCTTTAATAATGGAAGATTCCAATGTTTTTTATTATTATATTATTTTTGGGAATTTTTAAATAATTTAGTTTATATTTTAATGTTGAATATTTAGTGAGGGTTGAATTAGTCATTTTGTTGTTGCAATATTGAGTAATGGGTCTCACAAGCTAAATAATTGAGCTTAATTTTGGATTTTCTATTATTTTATGTTCATTTGACACGTAGCTTTTTACTATAATTTTAGCTTAAAAAATCAAATAATTTTTCATACTTTTTATTAATATATATATATATAATTAAATTTCAAAATAAAAATTTATTTCAACGGCTAAAATAGTAATTTTATAAAATTTTAAGGCAGATATATATAATTATTTTTTAAATTGTGGCCATTTTTTAATTTTTCTTCCTTAAATTTTAAAATATTACATATTATATTTATAGTTCGAAAAAAATGTTGAATAAGTTAATAAATTATTACACGTAAAATTAAAAGTTTAAAGATTTATTAGACACAAAATTAAAATAGGAAAATATCGTACAAATTTAACATTATTTTTTGTCCATATACTTTAAATTTTATTATATTTAAGTCGTACAATTTTATTCCCTATATAACATATACAAATCAAGAATTTTTTGGACCAACCGGAAATTTTAAATTCGTTGAGTTGGTGACTCGAATAGGGTTCAGAACCCAACAAATCCAACCCTCTGTTTTCAAGTTGGACTAGATTAGGTCACTAGGTTTTCTATTTTTTTCAATTATTTGGAGTTTTTTTTTAATTATCCGCCACACGTATTAGATGAATAACTAAAATCTCGTAATACATCACTGACTAACGTCAAATGTTCTTAATTTTTATACCAGTCTTAAAAGTAAGGTAGGGTCGAGCTGGGTTGTGAATCATATTTTTGGATTGGCTCGATCAGAAAAAGTTTCAAGTTTCAACTCATGAATTGAACCAAAAATTTAACCTAACCGAAACAAAAAGAAAAAACTAACCCAATCAAACTCGTATGATTTAGGTTGGATTGTAACAACTCAAACTCATCGCTAGTAAATATTGTCCGCTTAAACCTGTTACGTATCGTTATTAGCCTCACGGTTTTAAAACGTGTCTACTAGGGAAAGGTTTCTGTTCCACTCAACAACCTTTGGGGACCCAACATCCTTGTTGGCACATGACCAAGTGTCTGACTCTAATACCTTGGAAACAATCCAAATCCACTGCTACCATATATTGTAAACTTTAGCCCAAAAAGGAGTGCAACACAAGAACTTTCATAGTCACCCAACTTAGTACTACTCTCGCTCAAACACTCTTAATTGTGCAGTTATAATGGGATCCAATGTATGTATAACAACCTAAACCCACCACTAGCAGATATTATCCGCTTCAACCAGTTACATATCGCCGTCAGCCTCACAGTTTTAAAACGCATTCATTGGAGAGAGGTTTTCGTTCCACTCTTCAACCAATATAGGATTTCGCATGGACAGTTCAAATCAGTCAAATCGTTCAAATCATCAAATTACATAAATACCCCTATTTGTATCTCCAATAAATCTTAAATTTAGTATCCTAAAGTTAATTTTTATACCAAATAATAATAAATAAATAAATAAATAAATAATAACGCGTGAATATTCACACATTTATATAAAGAATATCAATATAGACTAATTTGTTTCGAAAAATAAAAAATAAAAAATTAAACTAACAGACTAATTTTAAATTTTATTGATTAAAATTTACAACAACATCCAACGTACATAACCTATTTTTTTTATTAACAATCATCTAAATAAAAATAAAATAAAATAAAATAAATAATATTACGTTTATATGAGAATGTGGCAAGCTCCAAGAATCTCAATTTAGCCATCTCCTTCCATAGCTCCCAAGAACAAAGCTCCTATAAATTCCATTAATTTCTCTTCCAATTTTTTTTATCTTCCAAGCCAACAATTTGACTCTTCTTTTACTTCTAATCGCCACACCTTGATTCACTGCTTCCGTGTTCGAAGGAAATCTCGTTTCTCTTCCTATCTCCGCTCGTTTCTTGCCTTTCTTTCCACTTTCTCTCTCGGGACCTAATCCATGTCTTCTCCAAGCAAGCGCCGCGAGATGGATTTGATGAAACTGTAAGTTTTTCCACCTTCCATGCCTTCCGATTTGATTGTTCTGTTCTTCTTTTACGCTTCTGGTTTGACTGTGCTGATTTTGAATCAGGATGATGAGCGATTATAAGGTCGAAACGATCAATGATAGTATGCAAGAGTTCTATGTCGACTTCCATGGACCGAAAGACAGTAAATCTTCTATATCCTTCTTTGATTTTTCAATAGGGTTTTGTTAATTTTGTTGATTCTATCTCTTTATGATTCCCCCCTTTTCCAGATAGCTTAAGAACTTTGTAATCCTGTGATTATTGTTTTGAGGCTTTGTAGTTTTGTTCTTCTAAATCTAGAGTGTTTGGTGTTTAGAATTTGTTCTTAATTCTTGCTGGCTTTCCCTTCTGAAATTAAGCCCTGTTGATTTAGATAATTCTAGGCGATATGAATTTGGATTGAAGGATTTCTTATGTGATTTCCTTGAAATTGGAAGGTCTTTATGAAGGAGGTGTGTGGAGGATTAAGGTGGAGTTGCCTGATGCTTATCCTTACAAGTCACCTTCAATTGGCTTTGTCAACAAAATTTATCATCCAAATGTTGATGAAATGTGAGTCGACTGACTTCGACGTCGAAACTTATTACATTGATTCTTACTATTTGCAGGCTGTTGATATCGATGTTTATGAATTGCAGGTCGGGCTCGGTTTGTTTGGATGTTATCAACCAGACATGGAGCCCTATGTTTGGTAGGAAACTTCTTTTTGGGATTATATATTATGGTGACCAATTGGTTTTTACATTGTGGATATTGTAATGCTGCAATGTAACTGAGGAATTGTGATCTAATTCGGGTTTTTTTTTTATGCTGTACAGACCTTGTAA